ATACTGTCTAGCCAAACTTTTAGAAGATCAGGAAACAGCAAAACCAGCAAAAAGAAGGCCACTGGGCAAAAGTGATACTTCTAATTTTAGAAAAATACACTACATAGTGATCAGAGAATAACAATAGGAAAGCAAAAGGAGACGTCTACAGTGAGCCTATTCAAATGTAGTGGAACTTTCACATTTGGGGGTTGGTACGTAAGAGACTTAGGCTTAAGAAAATCATATACTAGGCATTAGGGTAAGAAGAACAAGAGATACAGTGAAGACCATTGATTGTTAGCTTTTAGTGGATAAGTTTGATTGTAAGCGTGGTTCATGAAGTAGTGGGGGCGATATGGAAACCAGAAGGAAGTGTGAATAGGTTTTAAATAGGTTTAGATAGACAAGTAAGAAATAGTGAAATTGAGGGGGATACGAGGATATAGGATAGGTAAATAGCCTGGGACAGAATGAGGGATTCCACAACTGTTTAGCCAACAATCTGTCAAAGGATCGACCTCACTTGTCTCTAACGAGTTGTGGTGTGGTGATGGCGATGGCGATGCTCACTGACGATGCCGACTACGATGCCGGCGAAAAGTTTTGGAATGTATCATTTCTGTGATCCGACACTGGAAATCAACATGCATACTATGAACTCCGGACAATATGCGTGTCTCTAGATCTTACTGCCGATATGACCACGTTGGGAAAACAAGATCAAACAACTTCTTGGAAAATATCCATTTATGATTGTCCATACACCTCCCTAACCAAATGTGTCCCTTCTTCTTTAGCTCTGAAATTATAAACGGCAAAATATCACTCAATATTTTCTAGCTATTTAGTAAATTTAACCGTCTCATCTATCCAATTCATGTTTTTATGCTGCTAGAAAGCAAATTAGTCTTCGATATATCTAATCATTAATTGGGGAACTTAGAGTACTTCTGAATAACAGATGTTTGCTCGAATTGGAGGCTAGTCCGCTCCTATAGCTACACTTCTTTGTTGCTCATGTAATATCCCTTTAGTTGTAAAAAATAATGCACTTTACTAGGTTCATTAAGTTCATGAATGAAGCGTTTTATCCTTTTTAATCTCTAGATTCTGATCTGGTTTTGTCCCACTTAAAGGAATATCAGTACATATCTACACTAATCGGAAATATACAATTTACTCATATCCAAATATCCCTTGCTCAATAGCTAAATTAATAATTAGGATAAATTTGAGTTTAATTCGATGGGATTGTGAGGGCATTGTATAAAAGGCTCGACTGTCAGTCCTTAAATCATCTGAAAAGATATATAATTACTATCTTTTTAAATTAATAAATTTACAAGAATATTTGCTGAAAATTGTAAATATTCGCAAATCTGCTTTAATTAATTACAAATAAATAGTCATCATTTATGAGTCACTCAATCCTTAATATTTCCAATAATCCTGTGATGTACTTCTCCTAGAAATTTCCTACATTCTTTTTTTCGTTTTGCCAACGTCTGTTACATTGTATATTAGCACTCGATGCTGATTCATCTGAGTTGCAAATCAACACTTACAGCTCTAAAGAAACCCTTATTTGATCTATGATAAAACCAATTTGGAAAGTTTTTCTATCCTATTGTTTCTCACAATGAAATTCTAGAGCCATGAAAATATTGCGGGATTGATTTGTCAAACTAAGCTTGTTTGCAAATAATTAAGAAAAGCCTTTTTCAAATGGATCTTGGCAACAAAAGATCTAAAATGCGTGTATACTAATGATGAAGCATAAAACAAGGATTGAGACTTTATTGCATGATACAGAAGTACTTACTAATGTTATAATTAAGATATAACTAGAAATATTTTTACTAGTCCAGCTTAAGAGGAACATGTTTTCAAAACATGGACGAATACAAGTAGGCAATGCTAATAAAATAGTATATAGTGGAGAACTGGAAAAGTGGAAAATGAATGCACTTCTCCAGTGTGATGCTAGACCCCCAAATGCGTAAAGTCTTCCCGAAATCCGCAAGCAATATACTCCACTTAGGATTGTTGTAAATAATAGAGCTAGCGTGAATCACGATTTATATGCATTCAGTTAAAAGAAATCTCCGAAACTTAAAAGTTTTCAGTAAAGAATTCATACGACTTTAGTAAGTTAATTGATTATTGGACGATCGAGAGAGGAGATTTGCTAGTAAGTTTTGATGTAGTATCTAAGTATACTATCATTCCGATAAACGAGGCAACGAAGGCGCTAGAATTAACTCTAGATCAACACCCTGAAATCATAACAGGTAATAAGTTAATCATTTAATTTGTCATTTTGGCAATGTATAAAACATATTTTACCTTTAATGGTACGTTGTATGAGCAGACACGTGGTTTGGCTATGGCATCTTGTTTAGCCACTATTTTAGCTAAGAACTACATGACCCAATTAAAAGTTAGCGTATTTCAAGAGACATTTCTAGTTCCAACGTTATTAGTTCGCTATAAGGACGGTTATTTTGTTGTTTGGCAACACGGCAAAATTAGTTTGGAAGAATTCCTTGAATTAATAAACAGAATAGATGCAAACACTAAGTTTACTACGTAATCAGAGAAGAAAAATAAATCGTTTATTTTGGAAGTATTAGTGAGCAAATAAGATAATAAGTCAGGTAGAGACGTCAAAGAGACTTATATAGGAAACCCACTCATGCGGGTTTCCTTATTAACTTCTTCTCGAACCATAGATATAAAGTAGAAATAGGAGTTATGAAGTCTATGATAATAAGGAGTCTGCGTCTAGCAGAGGATTGGTAGATTGAGGGACATACTGGTTCAAAACAATTGCCCATTATGATTAGTAGATAATTGCATATCAATCGTATTTAACAAGATTAAGCGAGTTTGCTATCAGGTGCGGGATAGACAACTGGAAAATTCTACTCGGTTCCTGATTTTGCCTTCCTGTCAGCTTGGGAAAAAATTTAGGTGATCTACTGAGCAAATGGAACATAAAAACAATGTATAACAATTATAACTATCTTCAGTAGTTTCTAAGTTTAGAGAATATTCACACTCTCTTTTTAGATTAGGCTGTTACGAGGTTTTGTGCTCATGTGATAAGGTATATTTGGAAAAGACCTGCCGACCAATTTACAAGAGACTATGCGAACACGAAATCGTTTATTCGCTGCATACATTTTGGCAATGCATGATACTCAATAGACTGGTCCAAAACACAACGTTTTGCGGGTTACGGAGAATTCACGTGAAAACGTAAGCTTAGGGAGTCTATAGAAAGTAACAAAACAGCAACTTCCTGAATAGGTGGAACGAGTGTTGGAAACTAAGTAGGAACTTTTTGTGGTTGTTGGATAGACTTAAGGAAGAGGAGAAAGGAGGGGTACAGGAAGAGCCAATGAGTAAGAAGCTGGATCAGCCTCGAGTCTAGTTAGGACTATCACACTCCCCATGATATGAGCATTTGTTACACAGAATATACAATAGCACAAGCCGAAACATGATTTAACATTATACGATCGTACGCTAGTTTTCTGTATAATGAAACAGTGAATAGCTAAATCAAATGTAAACAAAGCGAGCAAATAGTATCTTATCAATTATGCTCCAAGTTCGAAAACGAAACTAACGCTTAAATAAGAGCGTAGGCACCATAGGTTGCCTAAGGTTATTTAACGACCGATAGTTGAGTATTCCAAAAATGCGGTGAGAAAATCCTATGATGCTATGTGAAATTCAATGGAAACATAAGGTCTACTCATATTATTGTGGGAAAATTGGAGTACCGGTCCTTTCTCAACCTACCGGAATAGGGCGAATACATCTTATAAATATATGGAAAATTGTTAGTCTAAAAAACCTTCTTATATACGAAAAATCATACAAATGTTGTCTGACTATGTTTTAGCAATTTATTCGCTTTGTCAGGGGGACCTAGAGGTACGCAATTTGTATGATATCCATAGCATCACATCAAAAACCGTCAAAGAGACAAGTGAAGTCAATTTGTTGCTTACCAGTTGTAGCATCTCTCCTTCTGTCCTGGTTTATTCATTTATCCTACATATTCGTATCACTCCATCACAATAACAATTTATTACTTGCTTATTTAAACCTGGCACATGTGTACACTTTAGAGCAGATTTAATGAGACCTATTCACACTTCCCACTTGTTCTCCTATTCCCGTTACAGTATTTGAGGAGTGTTGATTTCTTTTACTTATGCTAAAAGTATTTTTTTAATCTGGTCATTTTCTAATAAAGGCTACAGCATTTTGCGAAGAAAAGTTGGGTTTAGAGGAATCTCTTGTTTCATAATTGTTAAGCTTACTTCCATTGCGAGTGAAAGTGTTTGGTGAAGTGATTCGAAGGTCCATTCCACCAGAAGACGACGGCGGATTCCTCTTGACCAGCTGTTGATGGGCTTTACTGGAACATTCATGCTGACGCTGTCTCCGAGGCAATCTCCTTCAATTCTAATGAAAAAGTGGTAAGCTTTCGTCTGTCATATGACGAACATCATCAGAGCAAGGTATCATCCTTACATAGAAATTGCAGTTAATGAGTCAAGAAAACTCACCGGCAAATCCTTAAAAAGCTCTATGTATAATTTATATCTGGCATCTTTGATGAGATATAAAGTGATTTAGCTAGTTACGGCAATATGTCAACCTCAAAGCCCGTGAGTGTGTCCGTCGACAGCTGGTCAAGAGGAATCCGCCGTAATCTTTTGGTCGAATCGACCTTGCAATCTCTTCGAAATGGTCGTAAGCTCAACAAATACAGCATTTTGCTCTTCTTTCTTCGAAGAACTGTATTTTGCCGCTCAATTCGATATAATACTTTCTTGCCGTTAGCAGTAGCCGTATATATGACCGGTGTAGATTGACAATAGACAGATTTTTGATCGAGGCCAAGTAACGTTTTGACAACGTTTACAGAAAGAGACGATTAATCATCACAGTCGTCAGTTGATAGAGATTTGCTTTATCTGTCCTGGAACTCATCAGGGCTAAGGTAATTCGGCCGACAGAACAGCGTGTGAAGACGATACAAACGAGTGAAACAACAGTTTGTCGTCATGGCACAATCGGCTTTGTTGACAGAACCAAGCCGTCCATACAATCGAAACTGACCAGTCGCATGATACCACCAAAAATTGAGGTGCACTTCCAAGAAACTGTCTTTTTGGCATGCAATCGCTATAACGTATGCTGAGCACAAATGCTACCTTTAGGCCCATTGAGCAATCCTCCTTGTCACCACAAGCGGCCAACAGCCGGCTCAACGCCTCGGGTCCACCGCCCATTTGATCGAGTAGCAGTTTGAGTGCTTCTGGCCCACCACCAGCCGCCTTGAGGAGGCTGGCCAGACCGGCAACTCCGCCACCCGAGACAGCAATCAGAGTGGACACTGCCGCCGCGCCGTCCGTCTCGTCGTCAAGGCTGCGTGTAGCCGCCAACAGCTGACTCAACCCATCGACGCCACCTCCCATCGCCTGCACCAGGACCTGTAGACTGTGATTCGATGCTCCGTCCTCGTCGGTACCGCAAGCAGCCACCGAGTCCAGCAGTCGACGTAGGCCTTCTTCACCACCTCCCAGTGCCGACAACAGGTCGCAAAGACCGTCGGCACCACCTCCGGCCGCCTTCAGGAGGCTGGACAACGCAGCACCGGCAGACGCATCGGCCTCACCGCCAGTCATGGCGAGCAGCAGCGACTGTAGGCCGCCGGAACCGCCGCCAGCCGCGGTGATCAGGCTTCTGAGACCCTCCTTTCCGCCTCCAGACGCATCGAGCAAGCTGCGCAGAGCTTCACTCCTGTCGCCACCTTCAACGGCCTGCAACAGACTGGCCAAACCATCCACACTGCTACCGCCAACTGCCTGGAGAAGATTCTTCAGACCATTCTCACCGCCTCCAACCGCTTCGAGAAGATCACGCAAAGCACCAGGACCTGTCAAGTAAATCGATTAAACAACCGTTCAGTGTGGATACCAAGAGCAACTGGAATTCGATGAATGTCCTGGGTTAGCATTGTTGGGGAGACTTTGATTGCATATGTAGGTGCAAGAAGAAGAGAGTCGAAAGTCGATCTTATTTATGAGACGTATTTACCCTATTTCGTGTAAGGTGATGAAGGACTGGTAGTAGAATTTTCCCACAATGATATGAGTTTA